TATATATATATATATATATAAAGTCAAATTACATTATAATACAATAAAGTTGATTTACAACCAAAACAGTATAGGATATGAATTATTTTCATGAACAACATTGGTAATAACTGAHATTGCATTGAAGTTAAAATGTAGCCAATGATGCACGATGTACAACTGAGTGGACGTGTTTAATCTGTATTTTCTACAAAGATAAACTCAAAACTTGGAAAATCTTTACATAATATGTCACCTTACATGTTACTTGATGTAATCATATTTTTTTTTTATCTGAAATGGTGTCTTTTTATGGAAGGTAGGAACTGAAATAGCCCAGGTGTTTGGTTGTGCTCTCCATCTGTCAGCCATCTTGGTTTCACTGACTTTTTTTTTCCCATTGCAATGACCAGCCATTAGGATTGTTTTTGTATGGGATGATGTAATAGCTTCCACTAGAGTGGATTATATGCAACACTGCCCAAAATTGCAGGCATATATATAGACAAAAAACACTTTTAAACAGCTATACACTGTAGTGACCTCTATGCATGAAAGGGTTAATCACAACAAAACACATTTTCAGTTAAAAAAACATTATATGTCACAGAAAAACAAGAAACTAAAATGTTAACAGGAATCTTATATCCTCGAACTTAGCATTCCCACTTTTTAACCCTTCTGCTGTTCCTGGGTAAAAAAGACTAACAAGGCCCCAGTTTTAAGACTGCTGGTGGGTCCTTTTGACCCAAGGGCAGCAGGAGGGTATATCTGGAACACAGGCAAAATAATAACCAAAGACATTACACAAACAATTAAGTATTTCATTCTTAGCATTTCTAAAATGAACACTGTCAGTTCAAACCAAAATGTAGCCTTCCATTATCTGAAATCAAACGCAAAACATACACAAACCTGGCATCTGCAGACCATAAAAATTTAATATATGGCAAATCAAACAAAGATCACACTAACAGTACATTACAACAGCGACAACAGTTGTACAACATGTACAACAGTACATGCTTCAAGTACATTAAAAACCAATATGTTGCTTTTTTGCAGCCTTTCCAATGTCTCCACCATCGAGGATTGTCAAAACAAGATCTCATTGGACCGCTTCCTGCATCTTTCACTCATGCCAGCAGTAAGATTCTCATGCTTCTACAGTAAATAAAAAACAGACATTACCTGTTTTATGTTTTCCTGAAATAGTATTATTTGTATGTTAAATTCTTAAGACTGTTTTAAAGGCTATGAGACGGGTCAGTTCTAGATCTTCCTAAAAGAAAGCTGGCTTGACCATCCAAGATTGAAACATGAGCAAACCAGCCTGTCTTTGAGCAAACCTTAATCCAGTATAGTTACACATAGAATGAACTGTGTACACCCCCCAATTTAGAGACAACAATTCACCTAAAACACAGGCCTTTTGGAGAAAACCCACACATGCACATTGAGAACAGGCAAAACTACAGCATAAACTGAGCCTTAAAAATAATACCAAACCTGCTTTGTTAAAACCAAAACAGAAGATGACAAATGTCTTTTTGAAATATTATATCTTTCATCCTCTCTTACATTTTTCCAGTGTTTTTCTTGATAATAAGAGTTGCCATCTTATCTGGCAGGTGCTGATTACAGCGGTGCTGTCGTTCCTCCAGAGACGAGCTCAGAGAATTGCCTTTGACCTCAAGTTCCCTTTCCTAGAGGGACGTTTTGGCATTGTGGTGTAAGTCAAATATGACAAAAACATCTAAAAAAAATGTTAATGTGAGTCTGCCATGCGAATGATAGGACATTTAAGTTTACACAAATATCCTTCCTTCATTGTGTCAGAATTCATGATGTTGTGTTGTTTTTCTGCTGCAGGCCTTTGGACACAATGGGCAGCCTCAGTAACCGCTGGTCTTATGGATTTGCATTTGGTGCCGTGTCGAGCAGCGTTCTGCTGCTCTTCTCTGAACGTTACGTCCCTTTCACTATCGTGCCCTGGGCCCGACGTACGTTTTTTTCACTCATATTACTTTAATTGTCATGACTTGTGTAACTAATTACTAATTAACTAATTATAGCCTGATACAATGTTCTCTGTCTTCAGCCATAGTGTATCTGATTGGAGCGTTAGAAGTGGGTCTGGTGTATTTCCCTTTTTTTGCCTGCCTGTCGACACCATTCAGAATGACCGGGGCAGTGCTGGGAATACTCTACTCTGTGGCCTGGTATACATTGAGAGGGTTAATACTGATTCAGCAACTAAACTACTATTTTACAGTTGCTTTTTTTAATCTAACTTCAACATTTTGTACTATTTTATTCGATTAGTATATCATAATATTCAGCTCATGTCAAAGATAGATGCAATAAAGTTAAATATTTTGCACATTATGAAATTTATAAGAAAAGGAAACTAAAGTTATTGCACCCAAAGCAGATTATTCATTGCAATCTTCTTCTAGCAGTTTTAGAATTTTAGCTTTTAGCTTACCTTTTGCTATTTGAACTAGATTTTTGTGACTTGCAAAAGTCTAGTTTGGCTAACATTTTGCTACTTTTAGCGTTTAGCTAGTGTTTTGTTGTTTCTACCTTTTAGCGAGTGTGTTTTGACACTATTAGCTTTTAAGAAGCATTTAACTGTACATCAGCTTAGCTAGTATTTTGAAACTTATAGCTCTTAGCTAATGTTTTGCTTCATTTATATTTTTAGCTAATTTAATTCTTTTTTCTTCACCAACTCAGCTTCAGTTTCTTCAGCAATTTTCACTCAGCATTCATGCTGTTTTCTCTGGCTCATATAGATCCATGCTGTTTCATAACAGTGTAAAAAGTTGCAGGTGTCTGAAGATTGTGTAGAACTGATGAGACTTCCTGTCTTTGTTGCTGTTTGTAGGATCATCATCACAGTCTGGGACATGGTAACCTGCCCTGGGGGCAAGGTAGGCAGAATCACTGATGGGGTTTGTTTCTGCTGAACGTGCAGAATTCAAAAAGTTTCAATTCAAACCCAAAGATGCTGCAAAACATCCCACATTTAAAGTTACCTGTTAGTATTTATCATTTTAAAAAGTTTTCCTCTGACTTTATTATATGGGTTTTTTTTTTTAAAGATTTTGGGTAAATACCAGAAGATAATTGTCCAGTGGCCATGTGTCCTCTCACTCATCTTCCTACTGGGACGATTCATTTACATACTGGTTAAAGATGTTCGCATACGTCTACAGCTGGAACCAGAGGTCAGTGTACTGTTGGTGTCACCTGCTGCCATGCAAGACAAGCAAACATGCAATTGCCTGTGGGAGTGTGTGTGTACTTGTTTCAACCACAGAGTGAGGACCATTTGCGCCATAGTTGCTCTCATTGTGAGGTCTTTGATGCAAAGTGTGGACCTCTTCAATGTCCTAACTTTATTTGCAGCTCTGTACTTTACTAGTTAGGTTTAGAGGTATGGTGTGCATTAAGGTTTGGTTCAGGTTTGGGTTAACTATAGACCAGTAATGGTTCGTTTTAGGGAAAATGTCTGGGTTAGGCATAAATACAGTTATAGTTAAATACACAGCCTGGTGAGGATCCACTGTTTCTTAGGGAGACAAAAACCCGGTCCCTGTTGGAGGAAATACAGTTGGTGGATCAGGGGTTTGGTTTGAGACTAAAGGTGTGATTTGAATTCAGGTTAGATTATGTACCTGCAAGGTTAGGTTTAGGGTAGGGCATCAGGGTTAGGTTATAGCAATGGTTTTCAAACTTTTAAGATTCTGGCCCACAAAATTACAGTTACAGAAAGTCTCGACCCCAGATATTACTCGTTTACTTATGCAAACCTTGCTAATATAGGCATAATAACAATATAAGCAATAACCCTAATAACTACAATGCTACTGTTATTCATTTAGGATCATTGCAAATAAAATTATTTGCAATAACTAGCAATTAATTTGCATTTAAAAATGATGTCTGGAAATCATGTGGGGACCCTCACTTGATATTTTGTGACCCACAAAGGCATGGGGGCATCCAGTCCCCGCTAGGCTGCCTTATCCTGGAAAATCGTCCCCACCAAGTATCAAAAACAAGGGCACATACACACACAAACACACGTTTGTTCCTCTATCATCATGGGGACTTTGCATCGACTTCCATTCATTCACTGGTCATTACTACAACCCAGTGGTTCCCAACACACACACACCCTAGTGTGTGTGTGTGTGTTTTAAGACAAAAATCCTACATTTGGGGACAACTGGTGCATTTGGGGACAAAAGTCGAGTCCCCATTTGGTTTAAATGCCATTGGTTGGTTGGGGGTTGGTTTTAGGACCAAGGTGTGAATTGAGTTTAGGTTAGTTTTAGGGTCAGGTAGGTACCTGTGAGGTTTGCCTTAGGGTTTGTGGTCAGGGTTAGGCTGTAGAAATGTAATGGAAGTCAATGGAATGTCCCCAAATGGATAGCTGGGCGAACCTTTTTGTGTTTGGGTATGTGTGTATGATAGCATACATCTGCAACTTAATAACCTTTAGAGTCAACCTGATTCAAGATGGCCACCACAATTAATTAATTATCTTTAGCAAACATACATGGCTATAATTCTGTTAATTATTTAAAAATTCAGATAAAATTTGGTTCAATAGTAGTTAATAACTCACTTCTTTGCATACTTTGAACAATAACAGACACACCAGGTGTCAAGTGACATGCATTTCTTCAAGGAATGTAACTTTTATTCACAAACTACAATCGTTTTTGCAAAAATATTTCTTGCTGTGGGGATAACAAAATACATGAGTGACGCACAGTATTTCACGTCAAACGTATTGTGATGCACCGATGAATATTTTTCTTGTGATGTGAACATCTGCTGCATGCAGATGATCAAGTCACTAATTTCTTATAAAAGCTGTTTTACTAAATCCAGGACACCGAAGACCTGGTTGAGCAACATCAAGCTCAACATGTCAAGAGGCTGCTGAGAAAAACACCTGAGCTCCGGTATAGTTGTAATGTTTTTTTAAAACAGTTTTATAATTTCAATAAGTGGCAGTATCATAGATCAAAAATCCACCAGAGTGAAAGTTGCTTTTGTTGCTTCACATTTTATCAGCTTTAAATTTTTGCCCAAAATGACTTAAAATCTGATGCGTTCAGAGTCTGAGTCATTTTATGTGGGTTTTTTTTTTTCAGATGATTTGATTAGGGATTTTTTTTTACATTCAGTGTATCTTTTGGTCATTAGATTTTCCTTTTAGAAACGGGTAAAAAACTAGAAATGAATGGCTGTTTGATTTTTCTTTTAAAATACAGAAATTCAAATTTAAATACAAAGTGTTTCCCTTTCTTAGTGTCAAAAAGGGATGAGTAAATTTTTAAAAAATGATTCCTGTTTCATTTTCTGTTTCGGATAACTAAAAAGAAAATTACTTTAAAACAGAAAAAAAGGCTTGTTTGTTCATATTCCACGACAGGCCGTGCCAAATTACTGTCTCTCTATAATATTCTGGTCCACCACCAGAAGGGGCATTCACAATATTAAAGTTATTCAATAAACATCCCATTACAAGTAAAAAGCATCGATATCGACTTTTGTATCAAGTATACACTCACCGGCCACTTTATTAGGTACACCTGTCCAACTGCTCGTTAACACTTAATTTCTAATCAGTCAATCACATGGCGGCAACTC